ATGTTAAATTCGAGCTGGTGTGACTGATGTGATTGTTGGAGCCTCTTGTTAGCACGGTTCAATGCCTTGAATGTTTTCTCGGGGTCTGAAAGTCCTTCTAGCAGTTCTCCAGTCCTCGAGGAACTTCTAGGCATACACCTGATTTTCACAAGAGTTCAAACGTTAGAATTTCAATGAACAGATTGAGTATAGAGAAAACTGACTACACTAAGAATTTTTGTACTTCTTTCAATTGTAATTGATAACACCGTTAATTTCCCGGCAACGGCGCCAAAATTTGATAACACCAAACTATGCCTTATAAAAAGACACGCACGGACGTTGCAAATATAGTCTGGGTATTTCTGCCCAGAGTCGAACCACAAAGAATTAACCTATCAATTACTCTTGTCAGATTTACTAGATTCACACAGTCAATTTTCCCAAACTTTGTACTTCACAATTGATGATATGTCTAACAACTAAACTGAAAGTAAATAAAGCTGGAAGTTAACTAAGCTTGCTTGTATATAATTGGAATAAGATCTAAGGTAATGGTTTCCCCCGTTGTTGATTTCCTTGGTTGAATATGTATTCTAACTCAGACTTAATTGTCTCTATCAATCATGAACGCTCTAGCTATCATAAATCTTTCTCAAGTAATTATGATAATTTACTAGACGCACTTTCTCAAGTTACGTTAGCTAGATTCACAAAACAGTTCACTTAGATTGCATCCGAGGTATCGTTATCTCTAATCCTACCTCTAAACCCTCGGTTATGACTCTCGTCTATACTCCGGGAGTGATGTTATTCGTACAATCACCTAAATATGCACTCTCTCTCAAGCAGATACATACTAAATAGGGACGGATAATTGAGGGCCCTTTCAACTAACCACAATCAAAACATAGATGAACAAACAGAGATTAACAACCAATTCCAAATATATTAATATAACAACAAAGTCATCCCCAACGGGTTTCACCAAAACCTTAGGTTAAAGTATCTAGCTACTCATGACAATGGAAGATAAAACCAATAAATTGTTCATAATGGAAGAATTGCAATAAAAATAGAAGAGAATAGAAAACTATGATGTTTTGGGTGATCTCTCACACTTGTTCTTCTTCCAAAAGTAATCTCAAAAACTAAGCCTCTCTATTGTGGGCGATTTTCTACATCTTATAAGGGTTTTACACCAAGTTTCCCCGAATTGACACTTTGGTCCCTGAACTTTCCGCGTCCTGCCGCGGTCCTACCGTGGTTACGCCAGGACCGCGGCCAGAATGGCCTTCAGAATCTGCAGGAGTGTTCTGCCGCGGTCCTACCGCGGTTACGCTCGGACAGCGGCAGACCAGCTTCAGTTCTGGCTTTGTCCCTTCGCTTGGTGCACTTTGTGGATATTGTATGATTGGCCTCCTTTTCTCCGTAATTGATCCCAAAAATACTCCACAAACTTCTTTTATTGGATATAGCCTGCAAAGCATGAAAAGCACTAATCAGAGCATTTGGATATCACTTTTTACCATAAAAGCTATATAAAAATGTGGTTCTTTAGGGTCTAATTATAGTCTAATTTACCTATTATCACACTTCACAATGAATAACCACAGTAAAGAATGCTAGGCGTAAAGGGAACAACTCAACAAGGGAAAACTAATATGTTGCAACGATCCTACAATATAAAATTCAACAATAAGGAAGCTAACACGAGTCAAATAGTTCCAAATAAAGACAAGTCAACTAAGATATGGGATATCTATACTTCTTTTAAGGTTGAGCAATAGGAAGGATATTCAATAATTCAATTAATGAGAAGCAGCGGAAAGATAATCATAACCTCAAATAAGACAAAACAATTATAGGATGACATTATAATAATTTCAAATAAAGATAAGCAGCTATGAAAAGATAGCATGACAATAGAAGAGGTAAAATCTTCAGTTAAGTCAAATAAGAGTCAAATAGGCAATACGAGTGAATCCTAAAGCAATTAATACTAATTAAAGCATGTGGAGATGAAACTAGTAAATAGGAACTCAATCATATCAAGAACAGTTTCATACACAGTGAATATAAGGACCTAAGAACCCTAAAAGGCCAACTTTCACAAATAAGTCCGAGCATGCACTCGTCACCTCGTGTACGCGGACTACGATCAATATAGAAGACTTAAATCCTGAGGGGAAATCCCCCACACAAGGTTAGGAAAGATACTTACCTCAAAGAAGACAAACCGGTACTCCAAAAATAAACTTCTTAGGTGAAATGACCTCCGGACGGCTCAAATCTAAACAAAATAACTTCAAAGCCAAATAAAACTCATAAGAAACTATTCTGGATCATAAGGTCTTAATTTATCAAATTCTAAATATCGACCCAAAAGTCGACCCCTGGGCCCGCACCTCGGAACCCAACAAATTTCACAAAATCGGAACACCCATTCCGCTACGAGTTCAGCGATACTAAAATTTTCAAGTTCCGATACCATTTCATCCCTCAAATCATGATTTTTCCTTTTGAAACTTTCTTCAAAAACCAACATTTTCCTCAACTCAAAACACAAGTTAAAGGATAAAAATGAAGATAAAATCATGGAATATACTAAATAATAGGTGAAGAACACTTATCCAATTGATTTTCTTGAAAACCCCAATAAGTAGCCCCCCAAAAACCGAAGTCTAAAACTCAAAATATGAAGAAAATGGCCAAATCCTCGACTTAAATGTTTCTACCAGGACTTTCGCATCTGCGGACAAGCAACCGCATCTGCCGAACCGCATTTTCGAGAAAGAGTCCGCATCTGCGAACTCAGCTAACCAGGCCAGGGACCGCATCTGGGGATTTACAGTCGCACCAGCGGCATCGCAGAAGCGAAAGGAGAAGCCGCATAAGCGAAATTCTTCGCGGATGCGGTCGCTGGACCGCAAAAGCGGCCTTCGCACCTGCGTGCCAGCCTCCGCAGATGCGAGCAAGCTCCCAAGCCTTCATGAACGCAGAAGAGGCCAGGCTCACGTAGAAGCGGAGCCGCACTTGCGCTCCAAAGTGTTGCAGGTGCGAAACACCAAAAACAGACATGCTCAAAACTATGAAAAATATCCAAAACTCGTCCGGAACATGCCCGGGGCCCCCGGGACCCTAACATAGACTCGCTCGGGGCCTCGAATCACATCAAACAATGACAAAACTACGAATCGTACCATGAATCAAACTTATGAACTTCCCAATCTTCCAACTTCTAAAACTCGTGCCGAAACCTATCAGATCAACCTGGAATGACGCCAAATTTTGTAGACAAGTCCGAAATGACATAACAGAGCTGTTCAACTAATCGCATTGCGACTCTGATATCACAAAAGTCAAATTTCGGTCAAAATTCTCATTGCTTAAGCTTCTAAAACTAGAACCTTTCTTCCAATTCGACTCCGAATCATCCGGTCACGCAAGTCGATACATATAATATGAAGCTGTTCAAGGCCTTATGCCGCTGAACGGAGCTTAAATTCTAAAAACTACCAGCCGGGTCGTTACAAAAAAGTTCGCATTTGCGGACTTGCCAGTTCCGTTTTTCGATGGCAGAGTCGCATTTGCGACTTAGCACTGTTGGGATTATCTTCGCATTTGCGAAGGATGGTCCGCATTTGCGAGGGCATCAGGGTTCGTATTTGCGACCACTTTATCGCAAATGCGATTACTAGGATTCTGGGAGGAGTTCGCAATTGCGACCTCTATCTCGCAAATGCGAACATGACATTACATTGCGACATCTGCAACTGTGTAAAACTTAAGTTAGATGGGATTTTTCTCTCATTCATCAAATTTTCAAATCCTAGAACCCTAGAGGCGATTTTTTCAAGACCATTTCTTTCCCAAAACATTGGTAAGTGATACTAACCCATTTTCTTTCAATCTTTCATGACATTTCACAAAATTTTAACCTAAAATCTAGGATTTTCATGGAGAAAATTAGGGGTTTGGGTAGAATTAGGAATTTTTCTGTAATTGGAATTTAGACCTCGAATTAAGGTCGGATTTCGAAATAAATTACATAATTGGACTCGGGAGTGAATGGGTAAATAGATATTGGTCCAAACCTAGTGTTTTGACCAAGCGGGCTCGGGGTCGATTTTTGACTTTTTGGGGGGAAAGTTGGGGAATTAGATTTATGCATTTTAATTGATTCCTTTAGCAATATTTGATTTATTGAGTCAATTGTGGTAGATACGAGTGGTTTGGAGGCGAATTCTAGGGGAAAGGCTCCGGTAGAGCTTTGAATTGACTGCGGAGTGAGGTAAGTGTCTTGGTTAACCTTGACTTGAGGGAATTAGGAACCCTCAGACTATGTACTATGTGAACTTCATGTGAGCGGCGTATATGCGAGGTGACAAGTGCTTATATGTCGCAGAATTATCTGTTTTCCCTGATTTTTCTGCTTTTCCTTGATTATATTCCTTCCCTGTCTTAATTGTTATACGCTCTAAATGCTTCCATGTTTAATTGCTACTTGTTAATCAATACCTTCTCCTATTATTGATGTTAGCCCTTTCATAGTTTCATGATTCCCTACTATTTCCTTAATTGCAAAACTATTTGATACCTTTTTGCTAAAAAGTTAGACAAATCTTCGTCAGTTCAAGCGTTATATCGCTATTAAGAGAATGAAATCTATGAAACAAGCTACAATTACAAAGTTGTTTCATCAATCTTGAAAGAATTTATTTTTCTAGGTAGCTTTAAATTGTATGTGTTTGAGTTTAAATCTTTATACGTTATGAATTTATTAATAACGTATTAACTAGTGAAGTATGCATATCTTTTAAGATTTTAAATTTGAATAATTTTTTTTTATTTTTTATATGTAATATTAAAAAGAAAAACTAATTGATTTTTGGATAACATCTAAAAATATTTAAATATCAAATATTATTATAGGTGTATAATATTCAGCCAAAAAATATAAAACAAAGAAGGTTGACTGTTGAAGAAAAAATCTAAATGAGGAAAAACCCAAATAAAAGAAGAAGAAGAGAGAGAAAACATAACTGAAGAGGAGCGTCGTGTCCTTTCCCTTTCCCCTCGCTAATGTAGACGAAATGAAACCCTAGTTATCTCCGTTTCTCCAACTCCCTCTCTCCCTACACACACGCATACACAAATAATAAGAGCTTGGCCTTGTTCTTCTCTCTCGATTTCCCCAATTTCCAGAACTTTCGGTGGTTGTTTTGTGTAATCGAATCATTCATTTCTCAGAACATATATACACATGAATTTAGAAGCATAGATATTGAAATGTATAGAGATCGAGGAGGCGGTGGAGGACCGTTGGATCGGAAGCGAATAATCAACGTTGCATTAGATAAGCAATTGGAGAAATCTTCAGCGGCACCTACATCCAGAGCGTTGAAGGAGAAAGCTGTTCCGTCCACGTCAGATGTGATAACTGGAAAATCGCATCATCGTAATATTGATCAGCATATGGATACTCTTTCTTCTTCTACTCTCACCACCAAAAACAAGTGCTCTGATGGTATGTACAAGTGTTACTCTTTCCGTCCCACTTTATGCGCTGTGTTTGATTGACCTTGGAGTTTTCAAAAAAGATTACTTTAGAGATTTGTGACCTAAAACAATCATAAATATCTCTGTGACTATAAATAATCTCATTGTGTGTAAGTTTATAGTTACAGAAATGTTATTTTTTTTGAGACCGACTAAAAATTAAAGTGTGCTACGTAAATGGGACAGAGGGAATACTTGTTTTTCCTACTGCTACAACCAGTTTTTAAGCTTTTGAATGCATAAGATTTTGCTCTTTGCAGATAAAAATTGGTTAGTTTAATAGTTAATCATTCATTTCTTTTTATGATCTTAGGAATAAATAGCTGGAGATGAGTTTTGGGCTTTAGGTTTGGTTAAGTATTTTGATTTTCAAATACCAGCGGAGGCAAAAAAACATTAGGTGGTTCTTTCCATCTGCCTAAGCTTTTGTTGGCAGAGTTACCCGGTATCGGTGCTAGTGGGAGGTAGCATGTACCAGGTGGCATAGTTGATGTGCGTGCAAGCTGATCAAGACACCACTGTCATAAGAAAAGAAATTAGGCTTAAGCGATTTCTTCCCATCTCCGACAGAGTTACAGGTACCCGATGGAATAGTCGAGGTGCGCGCAAGCTGGCCTGGACCCACCGTAGTTAAAAAAAAAAAAAAGAATTTTGATGTCAACTGTTGGATTACAATTTTCTTTACTCGTGTCTACCAAATGTGAAGATATGTTTCTACATCATTTTGGTCTTGGTGGTGGCAGTAAATTTTCTTTTGGAGTTCCAGTTGGCTATCATTCTTCCCCTTCCAAATTACATATCGAAAATGGTTCTAAAATTGATCCAAAACTATACAAGCTTCTTCCAAAGCATATATATATATATATATATATATATCGTAGAATGAAGTATCTCATGTGTGGATATTATATGAATCCAAATCTGCCGAATCACTCATGTTATGATCTTCTATATCCTAGGTATTCCCTTTTTGTCATATGGCTTATGTTTTTCATATAGCATTCAGACCAAATGACTCTATGAAATTACATTATCTGCATGAATATGTAAAAGGGACTTCTTTGGCACTTCTCAGTAGAGTCTTAAATGGATCTATTTTCCTTAGTTAAGGTTTTATTTCCTGATAGAATGCATTTAACTTGGCTGGAATAATAGAAATTCAATTTCTCCTAAAAAGCATGTAAATGAGATGTGAAAAAAATTCTGTCAAGTATCAAAGGTGGAATGTGGCTGGAAAAGCTATTACTGGAAAAGTTCTGTCAAGTATCGAAAGTGGAATGTGGCTGGAATAGCTATTACTGGAATGTCATTCTATTCTGCTTCTGCTTCCTTGTGTATCTTATGAAGTTACATTGTAGAAAGTTCATAGATTCTCAAAACGTTCAAGGTAAAATGATATATGGTTTTACAGAGTATCCTGGTTGTAAGCATGATTCATTGTTGGTCATGGCTTACGATATTATGTCTTCTTTGCAATTGCTTCTTTTTTGGGAATCTTGGGACCTGCTTACCAGGCATTGTAAGAGTTGGATACGTTGTATATGGATCTACTGATGAATACTCAGCTGCAGTATCTTGCTATTATGGTTTAGGGTGGTACGAGTAAACAGGTTATTAACTGATGGTTTCATTTGGTGTCTCACGGAAATTGAAATCTAGAGTATTTATCAATTTGTTTCGAGTTACTACCTATAGTTACTTGGAGAGCTAACTCATGTTTCCTCTCTATTTTCACTGCTCTTTTGACATCAACCTTGAATTTTGATTACCAATATCTTCTAGTGCTATATCTTACAGAGGTAGACTTATAGATTTGAGTCTTTCGAGTTACTACCTATAGTTACTTGAAGAGCTAACTCATGTTTCCTCTCTATTTTCACTGCTCTTTTGACATCAACCTTGAACTTTGATTACCGGTATCTTCTAGTGCTATATCTTAGAGAGGTAGACTTACAGATTTGAGTCTTTCGAGTTACTATTAGAGAGGTAGACTATTATTGATTTGAGTCTTGGTGTTTCACCCGAAGATACTGGAAAAGCCAAAGCATGTGGCCACTATGTTTTCATTGCTCCTGGGGACATCAGCCGTTTTATTTTGCTTATGCTTCGGTTTTCTTAATGATTTGACTTTTTTACTTGCATTTCAAGCAAGATATGAGTAAATGCCATGGATGTGTATTTTGCAGAGGAATCTGAATCAGACAGTGAAGAGTCTGATGTTAGTGGTTCTGATGGAGATGACACATCATGGATTACTTGGTTTTGTAACCTGCGTGGGAATGAGTTCTTCTGCGAGGTTGATGACGACTACATTCAAGATGATTTTAACCTCTGTGGATTGAGCAGTCAAGTTCCATACTATGACTTTGCACTTGATCTAATCCTTGATGTTGAATCCTCTCATGGTAAGTATAGTTGCTTCTTTAGATTGCCTAATATTTTTGGATAAATTGCACTAGAACTACATTTAACTTGTCGTTTCAATCTAATGATGTAAGTTTTTGGTCTTCCATAGATAAAAAGGATTAGGTTATTTTAGTCATAGTGGAAACATACTGAACGTCATAAGAGTTGCCTGGTTATTGTCTTTGGCACTTCAAGGTTGTTGGAATCATGTTGTTATTTCAGTACTCCTGCAGAGCTATACAGTTACTGCGTATAAGATCATTGGTGTAATCTAAGCTTCATCTCTTCTGATGGAAACAGTCGGTGATCTGTTTTAGCTTGTACGGCTGGTTAAAAAATCAATCTGCCAAGTCCACCATCTAATTATTCTTTCTGTAGGACGTCTCCTTTCCAATTCCAATTGTTATTAAACATATTTTCAAGATTTAAATGTGTAGTGCTTGGGCATTACTTCTGCAGGTTCCATTTTCAGGAATTTGGAAAAATTTCTTGTTTCAATAGATAAACTCTCCTGGGGATGGGTAGTTTCTGGTGGTGGCTATTGATAAAAAGCTAGCGCAAATAAACATTCAGTCTCTGTTGATAAGCCTGCTAAACTTCTGAAGCATAGTGTATCTGTTTTATGAAGGCAACCTTTTTGAAACAAAAGTAAGGAATTGGGACCTCCCCTCCCCCACCCCCCCCCCCCCCCCCAAAAAAAAAATGAAAGAGGAAGTACTGAACTGGTCCCCAGCTTATCCCCCAGATCAGATACTTTGCTTAATTGGTTTGGGACGTCTAGCTTAACTTGGATGAAAACAGAGCCAATTTCTATAGGGATTTTTTAGTTCTTTGCAAATTTCTGACTGAAAAAAGACTACCTTGAAATTAGATACTATTAAATTTATGCATAATTCTGACCGATCAAAAAAATATTGTACATAATTCTGTCTGCTTTGCAGAATATTGGATTTTCATTTGTTTCATTTTTGTGAAGAGGCATGCCGCTGTAATCAGATATTGTGGTCACTGAATGAATTCCAATGCTAGGAAAATTGATGTGCTCTAACTTTGGGATTATTATTTTGCTTAATTAAACAGGCTTTTCGGTACAAACTGTTGAATCTTGTGTTAGAATATCCACATAGGTTGAGGAGATGAATTGTTGTTCCTTGTATGGTCTTTGGGAATTACTCATCTCATGAGCTAGTTGTAGGAGTTGAATCAAACCAAGGTCCATTTCTCTTAACAGAATAAAATAATAACCTCTTCCTTACTAGCTTGTCCTTGTACATATAGTGCCATACCAAGCTTTTGGATTCCTTTGTTTTTAATTTCAGCTTTCGTGTTGAGAAACAAGGCATTCTTTCCATTCTAAGTGCAAATTTTGGTCTCTATTTTACTGCAACTAAAAATGTTAATAGGAGTTTTTAATTTGTCCTGCTTTGAATAGGTGATATGTTCACTGAAGGGCAGAATGAATTGGTTGAATCAGCAGCAGAGATGCTCTATGGCTTGATCCACGTCCGATATATTTTGACCAGCAAGGGGATGGCTGCAATGGTAATGCATCTTATGTCAGGCTGTCGCCGTTTCTAGGTTTCTGGTGTTATCTGCTTTGGTTGTTTCCTCTAAACCCCCCCCGCCCCA